TGGGCAAGCGGCGAAAGCCAGCTTGGCAGGGAGCGTGGCATGAAAACACAATGATGCTGCATGCCGACGGTGTCCTCGGGGGTGAGCTTGTGAACCAGCCAGCCGGGGGGAGGGGGGTAGGTAACTATGAAGCTTCATGCGAGTGGAGATTCCAGCCGCCCAATACCTTGCAAACCGAAATCGGAAATGATGAAGAAAGTCGAGGCCAAAGGGATCGGGACGAAAGCTAGTTGGGCAAGGGGAGATACGTATTGAGAGAATATGTGGCGCGACCTTGTTAGCATCATTTTTGGAACTGAAATAAGCTACCATTCGATGTTGCTGACACGCTAACAGCAGCGTTGATATCCTAGCTCGCATGCACCATAATCATTCCACAACCCTCCCCCTGACATCGTGACATCCTGGCATACCAGCGTCAACACTCCTAGACTCCTAGTACTCTTCTTGCCAAATACAAAGTGCCCTAACCGAACGCGCTTCGGTTGAGCCACTTGGCAACCATCTGATTGAACCTCTTTCCCTCGGCCTTTCCTTCCTTGTTCCTTTCCGTGGCATATTATATGTACAAACATATAATTATGTCTATGATAAATATACCTAAGTATCGCTATCTTCCTAGTTACCAATCGATATATCTATAGTCTATTTATATATATATGTAAAGAAATAGTCTAGAGAGAGAGCGAGAGAGAGAGAGAGAGAGAGAGAAATATTCGTAGAGAGAGAAAGAGAAATATATATATAGAAATATAAACAAATAGAAGTATAAACATTATTATAAATATATATATATATATGTCCATAGATGATCTATATATATATATATGATTAATAATATGTATATATATATATCCTCTATACAACTAACCCAGTCTTAGAATCTGGTAACTTTGGTGCATACATCCATCGAGCAAGAAATGTTTGGGAATCTTTAGAAGCGCATCTTCCATTCCTCGCCAAGACCCGGTAATCTTTTGATGCAGACCTTTTCAGAACATGGAATGCAAGACTCCAAGTGGCTGTTCTTTCATCACATTACATTGTGTTGCATTAAATTAGGTTAGATTGGGCAAAAAAACATGGCAATGGTCAGGGTTCAAAAGAACAGGGCGGGGGTCAAAAAAACAAGGTGGATGGGTCAAAAAACAAGGTCGAGGGGTCAAAAAAATATGGGTCCCGATTAGATGAGATTGGATTAGATTAAATTTATATTACATTGCACCACGGATGAAACCCAGCGGGATGGACGCAGCGGGGTTTGAGCCCGAGGGGGAGGGAGAGAGGGGTCACAGTTCGACATGATTATATAATCTTGCCGAACGCCGGGGCCGCAAAACCGTTCGACATGAAAGATCATGGAAGCTGCCCCCAATGCATTGCTAAAGCAAATCCAACTCCAGCTAGCAAGCTAGCTTTCGTGACAATCATTGAACATGATGAATTGACAGAATTCGACAAAACCTGTTGCAACTCAAAAAAGAACAATCTAAGACTTGGACGCGCACACCAGTGCCATCATGCGTTGCATAGTCGTTTCTGGCAGGGGCAAACTGCGTGGTGATTCTATGCTTCATCATTCATGGGTCAATTGTTTATCCCTTTTAGATCCTTTTGGATCGCTTAAGGTCCTTTGGGCCCTACATGGAGTTGGAACTGGAATCGGTGTGGTAGTGGCCTTCCTTACTAAGCCTTCGCAGTAGCAGTCTCTCATCAGCAGCTCTACAGACAGACCCGAAGAGGGGGCTATCATCAAGAGATCTCAAAGAGAATGTCAAACGGTCAAAGGTTCCAATCTGACATGTCTGACATGTCTGAATAGCGCCCTAAACTTTAAAGCGGTAAGGCGGTAAGCTTAAAGCGGAGACTCCCACCCGAAAACACTGAGGCATTCCCTGCGGCCAACTGCAACCTGCAAAAGAGTCAAAGGAGGTATTATGTAGGTCACAAACATTGCAAGCTCGCATTGCATCTCTAATCCTGTCACAGCTGTCATCTGTTTCCTGTCTCCAATATCTTGAATCGAAGGATATCGAAGGCTTGTATAACTGACAGCAATCAAAGCAGCAACCTGTTGCACAAACGGCATCAAATTGTTCGGAGGTCCATGTGGATTTTCTCCTATCCTCGCCAAAGCTGGCCAAGTGGTCGCTTACATCATATGATTATGGTCGTGCAGGTCGTGCAACTAGTTTTTGAAACCTTTATTATCTTTATTCTGAAAGGATGCGGCAAGGCTGAAAGTGATTCTTAATGATTCCTAGCTTGAATGGACATTGAATGGATGTAATTTTTTCAGGCTTTGATCAAACCACGTCCACCAAAGGAGACTTCTCCTGCCACTGGGGTGTGCCTGGCAGACTGATTGAGTCCATTTGCATCGCGAAGGAATATTGAAAAATTGCAGCCATAGTCTTTCAATTGTTCATAGTTTTTCAGTTTGCATAAATCAAACTTTCCACATGTGCTTTCCTTACTTGCTTCCTTTCCATACCATGCGACTTGCAGAAGAGACTGGGTACCATTGTGAGTGTGTTCCAAATCAGCCAATGCAAATTGCTAGGGCACGTTAGCCCGTTTGGGTATACTTACAAATGGAATTGTAACAGAACCAACATGGCAGCAACACGCCCACTGGGTTGAAGTAGCGGAGGATCGAAATCTTGGATGTGGTTGAGGATGCCACAGATCAAACAATCTCTTGTCCAATCCGTGTTTGCTATGGGGAAGCGTCAAGTTAAAAGGAACTCTGCTACATCGGCAAGGCGTGCCAAGTAGCGGAAAAGCTTGGGTTCGCTGTTGCGAAGCCCGCCAAGATCTGGCAGTCAAGTGCAGCCAGCGAAAAAGCCTCTGCTATGATTGCTATTGGAGAACATCACACTACCACGCCAAAGGTCTTTTGAGCTTGGCTGTTGCCAAAAAATGACAGATATCTTTATTCGTGCAATCATCCCGCAATGACAAGCCCAGGCCAAACAAACTCTGGCGAGCAATACCTCTGCGTCTTTCGTGACCAAATGTGTTTGAGACTTTCTTACCAGATCCTACAAGTTTCAGATCTAGTTACGTTGATGCCCCCGGATGTTCGCTGCTTCCAGCCTGCTCGATCATGAACTTCGTCCAGCCATAAGGATTTGTGCCTGGGAAAACGCGGCGACACGCGGCGACTGCGGTGTGTTGGACGTGTCACCTCTTGTCACGTCTTGCCACGTCTTGTCACGTCTTGGCACGTCTTCAAACTGTGTACGTAGGGTGGCAGTGGAGACCTTCCTACGGCGTGACGGGATCCAACGAGTTTCCAACTCTTGAAGCACTTTGAGCGCGGGACAACCCAAAGGCTTGGACTCATCAATCGGCTCCTCACACGGCCTCCAAGCCAAGCAAGTGACACAGGGTCCTGCTTGCTCTAAAGAAATAGGAATTGGACAGATTTGATGTGTATTATGCACATTTATGCACTATGTTATGCATAAACGAAGTGCTGTTGATACGTTCTGTCCAACACTTTCATGCTAGAATCTGTAATAAAACACGCCGCAAAACAGATTTGGTCGGGATACAAAGAGTTGCCTGTACACTGTGGCCGAAGAAGAGAACACCAAACGCCTGCGAGCGAATTTGCAAAATTTGTTTTGCGACTGAAGAACTCCACAGAGGCCGGTGGCAATCAGCACTGGGCGAAAGCTGTTAATGGAAAACTTGAAATGTCTTGTCATATTAGAATGACAGAATGCGTCGATACCTTTCTCATTCTTTTTCTATGTCCTTGTGCGTCCTGGGTGCAAAGCCGCAGCTAGCATTCGATGTCGATGGGGAACAAAGCCAAGAGCTAGAAAGAAACTTCAATATAAACACTCTATGCAAGAATTGGATGGAATTGGCTCAAACAGGATTGACGCAAGTTTCATAGACTGAAGTGTTGGAGTTGAGAAACGATTCCATTACCAGAGATGTGTTTTGAGTGAAGTCTTGCGCCAACCGTTGTTAAAATTACAATCGGCTGTGTTCATTCCAGGACATCACCCAGAGCTGATAACAGAGATCTCAGGTGTCGCCGCTTCTCCTGGACAAAGTCACTAACATCTTGCAGCAAGTATCAAAAAGAGATCCAAAGATATCCAAAGCCCAGGATGTGTGACAGCATGTCCCAGCATGTTGTCCCAGTAACCAATGTGTTTTAAAGTACATGCAACCGATGAATCCCAAGTGAGCTTTTCTGATGAACTTGATTCAATACCATGCACCGACCTCTCCTTCTGATCTTCCAAATTCTTCCAGTCACTTTCCCTAACCGTTGCCACGCGTAGACCTTTCTTTTGCAAGATTCGTCGCCTGACAGGATTTTCGGAAAAACTACAAACATCTACAAACTATGTTGAACTATCACTGTGCAAATTCATGTCCCTTGCAACTTGCTATGAGCTCTGCAACGTCCTGCCAGCAAACCAGTTGTGGTAGTACAATGTCTTGCGCATTCTCTGGACGACAACAGAACCAATCAGGGCTAAGGCCACTCCCGGAGCAAGCAAGCGGCAGCAGCAAATGATCTTTTTGTACAAGGTTCCGAGTAAATCAGCATCTGACCAAACATGGCCCCAGGTTGCTTTGACTCCAGTGGAATCTTGAGTCTTGTGTCGACTGCGCGCTCATCAGCAAGCAAACCCATTAATCGCAAAACAAAAACTACAGAGAATGCAGAATGCATGTCTCCAAGTGCTGATTCAGGCACCTATTCAGCGCCAATCGCCTAGACTAAAGCCCACAGTGCTGAACCCGAGACGGCAAGGTCTGAAGGTTGTTTGCCAGTGGACTATACTATAGTGACTAGAATATGTGACCCTTGGAATGCTCCTTTGATTTGAACACATCACCTGTTGGTAAGGTTGGCGAGGTTTGGGGAAGATTGGTGCACAAGTGCTCAATTTTAACAAATGCCAACGGTTGAGGTCACGGGAGGTCATTGCCTTTTTTCTCTTTTCTCCAGGGAACTCACTTCTGACTGTGGCGGATTGGCACAAAAATCACAAAAGAAAATGTTGCCCCGGCTGTCACAACTCTGTCGCTTTCACATCTTTCACTGGGCTTATAGCACTGGCACTTCCATACTTCTCCAACTTTGCCAGCTTTGGCTTCACCTCCTTCATTTCACTCACGCGATCTTGAAGCTCTTCCGGTGTGGCTTGTGTCTGGACATCAGCAAGGGTCTGAAATGCCTGCCAAATGTAGCACAACGTATCCTGGCGCCTCACCCGTTCACTGAATCGTTGAAAGCCCCTCTCGGCGATTGACTCAGCAATGTCTTGATTCCGTTCCAGCCATTGAACTTTCTCGATGAGATCAGACAAACCGGGACTTATGGGTACATAGTGCTCCCAGGGAACAAGCCATTCCATGATGAGCTCATGATCCCAGCTTTCTTGTAGGAGAAGAACCGACTTCGTAGCGAGCATGTCCACAAGTCTCCAAGAGGAGAGAACCGCGGCAACGTTTATTAGGTATCGATACTTGGGCATCTCTCGAGCAAAGTTTTTGCGTTTCACTTTGCCACCCAAGCGTTGAAGTAAACTCTCAATGTTCGAAACGCCGGCAACTTTGTAGATCTCCCTGTCCTCTGACAACGAGAATGAAAGAGGGGACCCTTTCAAAAAATAGGGCAAAACCCGATCATCGAATGGCCACCAAAAAAGAATCGTTCGAGATGTGGATTTACTGTCCCTTGCATTGCTTGAAGAAAAGTCTTCGATGGGGCCTTTAATCCTGAACTTCCATCCAAGGTTCGACATTTGTGATACCGACATCAAAGAGGTCTGGGTACTCCTGTGCCAAGTTTAAAAGTCTCACCCGCGGCAAGCTTGCAATGTCATCCACGGCAAAGTTGTCTGGGGCTGACAGGGACCCTCGCCAAAAAATCCGAGGCATCTTTTGAGACCAGGGCAGATGATGCTGGCTGTGTGCCAGAGAGTCTCCCAACAGATTCTTCGCGTAGGCCTGTCTCCAGGGTCAGGTCATTTGGACATTTTGGACAGTGCCCTGTGGCTAGTGGATTTGCTTTCGATGAGTAGTCATATCTAGTGATTCTCTGTGTCTTTGGAGCACATGATGCATGCAAGGCAACACAGATGTTGAAATAGATCCTTTTCCCGGCAATCTTTTTGACCAACATTGCCCCACAAGGCCTTTAAATGAAAGGGATTCGGCAATGGCACTGTCCAGTGGCCAGAACTGCGCACCCAATGGAATTGTGGAATTGGACTCCAATATGCTTTGTCACTGAACGGCTGGTCGCCGGTGTTGAAAAGAAAAACCATGTTGGGCAGGTCGCCATGCGTCGCCAACTCAGCCACCAAGCTCAATAAGAAGTCCACTTCAGACACACCATCTAAAAGAGGTGAAGCTTCACATTCATGTACACAACATCTGTAGAAGACTCTCTTGTTCAGAATTGTTCCTACGTAAGCATGGCTGGCTCGATCATGTATGCGCTCACAAATCTGAAACAGAGCTGTCCAAGGCAGCTGATGGTCCCACCAGTGCTCAAACGAGTCCTCCAGCACTTGCTCGTGCTCAACACACTGAAGATCACATGCTAGGTGTTTGCCTCAGCTCAACAAAAAGGATGCAGTCTGGACACTAGACATTGCATAGTCTACATCTTGCTGAGCTCAAAAAGGATTGAACACGTGCATTGACTGTCTTGTATATTCCTTATGAATCATTCTGTATCATTATAGTATGTCTAATCATTCTCATCATGTCACATCTGTTACAGTCGGGAACTGTGTCAAGAAATGTCATTAAGAAAGAAAGTAGACTCTAATTCGTGGGAACAGTAAATTACTTAGACTCTATTTTGGTTTCAGAAAATGTCAAAGTACGTATTTTTCGTGTATTCCCGCGTTCCTTTTCAAAGCTGCGCACAGAAGGAAGCTGCTGCTGAATTCGGTTGAACTGTTAATGAAAGTTGGTGGGACTAAGAAGCCTAGTTTAGAGATGTTTAGAGTCTATTTGCCAGTCACATTTCTTCGCCAAAGGGTCATGGTTAAGAAACATTTTAGACTCTAACCCTAAGGTACGTATTTCTTGTCGTAAGCCTCAGACATACTCAAAACATCTCAAAACAAAGGCAGTCTTCATGCAGCCTGGGCACTTGCACCACACTGCGACAAGGCAGCTGAGAAGTTACGATAGGGATGAAATCGGCTTGGTTCATTTGGATAGACATCGAAGCTCTTCAATTCGCTTGCAAGCCCAAAGACAGCGCTCCCAAAAATGGCCAGAATGGTTTGCATCTTCACAGCCCATACAGGAACAACATGGAACAACCGCTTACAACCCCTTACAACCCCTTTATCCTATTTTATCCTGAGGTTGCACAGCTTGTCACGAGTCTAGTTGAAGAGATCGGGTTTTTCGCACTAGCAACCTGAAACATGTATCAGTGCGAGTCTGGTTTATTTGCTTCCTGGTTCTGTGCCTAGAAAGACGCATTAAAGAAGGTCTTCAGGCTCAATTCTGTTTCTGATCTGAAGTAACAACATGTGTGCCAATGTGTGCTTGATTAATGTAGAAACTCTCAATTCTTGCCACATCAATGATCCAGTTGGGATTCATGCAGTCAAGTTCAATGGAATGTCACCCATGCAGTCTCTGAATAGATCTTGAAGCCAAAGGAGTCAAAGAAATGCAGCGTTGCTGATTATATGGCGGAGGCAGATTCTTTCTTGTAAAATCTCGCAGAAGAATATTTGCCCGAGAAAATCCTTACACTGTTGCGGCTGTGCATCCTGTTCCAACTCCTCTGCTTCCACCATGTTGCTCCGACAAGCTAGGTCTTGGGATGTTTTGGCTAATAATTTTGAGAAAGCCTTGAAAATAATGGACGAACACACCATGAGCTGGGCAAAATAATCAGGCCTGAATGCCACCGCGCCATCTACCAAAGGACCAGCAGTCTCATCCTGCGAAAATGTGCGAAAGTACTCTTGCTCAGTCTTTCGCAGCAACGCAACTCGGCACCACATTCTCCAGGAGGGCTCAGAATCCCCGCCTAAACTGCTCAGGCTAGTCATCTATTTCCACGGACTTACGAAACGTTCCAAGTCAAATCTGGCAAAGAGAAATGGAACACTATTTTACACGGTCGTTGCCCGCATGATCTCAAGTGCTGTCTTGTACTGTCCTGATCGATGGGACGGATCAGAGACAAGGCTCCGTCGATATCGATGTGGACATAGCCTGCAACTCTGAGCAAAGACATGTGAAGTTTCCAGATACCGATGAAACCAACATCAACTCTTGATCGATGAGAAAATACAAGCATGAGGACAAAAATAGAAAAAATGAAATCAAAGGTGCTGCTGGTGCGACTGGCAGTGCTCTGGAAGTTCTACTTTGACTTTATTCTGCACTTCCGCCTTCTCGGTATTGCAGACAGAAATACAGAGCTGATAGAATTTCAAGATGTGTTCCAAAGACCCAGCGCACAAAACTCAAAAAAGAAAAGAAATAAAAGATGTTAAAAGATGCTCAACAGTTCTGCTGATTTCAGAGTGGCCATCAGGCTGAACTGGGAACCGTGCCATCTGTCGAGGAACGTTTTCTCATAGCCGCAACATCCTGATGCAGGGGACAAGAAATGACAAGAAGAAACAACATGCAGAATGGAAGCAAACGGAACAAACTAGACGATCTGATGATCTGTATTCTATGTCATGTTTTTTTTTCACTTGACCAACGGTAGACATGCTCAGAAGACAATTTTGCTGCAATGTCGATGTATCATGATGATTCAGGATGTATCTGTATAGTTGTGCGCATGTATATGGATCTTCCGGATCATTGATGTCTTGATAGAGCCGCATTTTTGGCCAAAGCTAAAGCGAGGACAGGAGCTAAGGGGCTGGCAGACAGCAAGCCCACGCTCGTGCGATGATTGGCCTGCACCTTCGTGGCACAGCATTGTGCTCAGCTTCGCAGCTTCCGCGATTACATAGTGATTACACCCCTAACTCTCCTAACCATCCTGGATCAACAGCGTTCATGTCATGACTTGCATCAAGATTTGAAGGTCCATAGGCTAAGTGCCAGGCGTGACCCTCTAGAAGGCCTTTCACCGCTGCAGTGATATCGCTTCGCACTTTCTCAGAACATCGGCGACAATCCCGCCGATTTTCCTTCCAACAATGAAACATCAAGAAAAGGTAAAACAGGCACGACTTCAAAACGGATGCATGCTCACCCCGCTTGAAAGTGGCTTCAACTGGGACTGCGTAATTGCGGCCAAACTGGATCACAGCCCACATCTGCAAACATCGCCAACATCTACCCACATCCACCCAGGTCTACCCACTCACATCTATCCACATCTGCCCACATTTGCCCACCTTATAGTGTTCGAGAAGCGCACTAACAGACTTGTCTTCTATTCGGATCGAAGCATAGCGCTCCTTGTGCTCAGCCCTTAGAGCAAAGAGTGCTGAGGAGGACAACAATGCAGCATTAAAATTTAGACATTGTCGCTAATAATATTCAGAATTCTCAGCCCATATCATTCCTCTATATATAATCCATTATATATAATCCTCTATATTTATCTATATTCGTTTCCGGCTGTTCAGGCTACACAAAGACATGGTAAACCGGCGACTCAGGCACTGACTCCAAAGATAGATGCAGCTCATAAAGCTGGCAGAGGGCATCTGCAGTGACCTTCTGGGATTCTCTGACCACCTGAAACATGAGCTGCAACAAATCATGGTGGTAGAACTCCAGCACTGCAAAGCACCAGCATGCTTCGACAAGGTCTTCGCAACGGAATCCTGAATGGCTTGTTGGTTGGCTCTTTGACCATCGGCCCACGATGTCATCACCAACGGCTTGACAAAAGGCTTCATTCTTCACTCCACAGCGTGACAATGCTCGAGTACATCGCATGATCTCTGCTGGGCGGAGCTCACGAACTCGAGGTGCGATGGCTTGAGCTGCTGAGGTGAAAAGGTCAACGTGTACCAAGCGCACTTCGGACAAAATCGTCAGAAGAGATCCCAACTCTTTCGGAGCGAAGGTCTTATGCCTTGCCTGCCAGGGATTCCAACGCACTGTGACAATGTTTGTTCTGGTCGTCGGGTGCTACTGACTGGACTTCGTTTCTAAAGATCATCTATAAAGCGACTTCTGACTCCAAACCTTCCAGAATCTTGTCAAAAAACCTTAGAAGTCTTACCCAAGTTATATAATATCTCCGGTTTATGTTTCTTCATACGTTTGATTCTGTTTGAATTTCGAAAGGAATGTCTTGCCTGAGCAGATTTGCCCACTGAAACGAAGAACTTGTGATCTGAGCAACCCAAGGAAACGACGCCAGCCAAACAGCAGTTCAGTTCATGCGGCGCTAGCTCCATTAGTCTTGTGGGCACCTCAGGGGTCTCCCAGCTGGGTCATAATTGAGTCAAAGTGTCACAGCGGGTCAGAAAAGCCAAAAATGGGCCACAAAACCAAAAATGAAAGTACTTCGACACCTCTGCAGGTCCAAAGATTAATCCCATTGGTGATTTACCGAAGGATCTCACAATTCTCACATAAATTCACATAATGTCATAATAATGTGCAGTTGCAGCGTGCTGCTTCCGAATGTTTCCAGAAGACTTGAAATTACAGGCCTCCGTCTGTGCCTGGACACTGGACAGCCTGGACCTATGTGGTTTCTGCGTGTCTACAATGTCCACAATGACTACAGGTCTGACTATGTGTGTACATTGCATTCCAGAAATTTCCAGACTATAGTATCTAGATGTAGTATATATCCGCCGACCCCGGCTGACAACAAGGGGAAGCGTGTCAGGGAAGAAGAGCCTACTACTACTACGGCTCCTGCTGCTACTACTACCACTCCTCCTACTCCTACTCCTACTCCTACTCCTACTCCTGCTCCTGCTGCTGCTGCTGCTACTGCTATACTACTACCACGACTACCACTACGACTACGACTACAACTACGACTACGGCTACCACTACGACTACGACTACGACTACCACGACGACGACGACGACTACTACTACACCTCCTACTACTACTACTACTACTACTACTCCTGCTGCTGCTGCTGCTACTACTACTACTACTACGACTACTACGACTACTACGACTACTACGACGACCACGACGACTTCTACTACTACGACGACGACGACGACGGCGCCTACTGCTACTGCTACTGCTACTGCTACTGCTACTGCTACTGCCACTGCCACTGCCACTGCCACTGCCACTGCCACTGCCACTGCCACTGCCACTGCCACTGCCACTGCCACTGCCACTGCCACTGCCACTGCTACTGCCACTGCTACTGCTACTGCTACTGCTACCACTAACACGACTACTGCTACCACTACCATGATTACTGCTACCATCTGCTACCACTACCATGATTACTGCTACCACTACCACTACCACTACCACTACCACTACCACTACCACTACCACTACCACTACCACGACTACTGCTGCTGCTGCTGCTGCTACTGCTACTGCTACTGCTACTGCTACTGCTACTACTACTACTACTACTAATAAGACTACTAAGAAAGCTGGAGGTAGGAGATGAGAAGATAGCACACAAGAAAATATGATGATGAATGCTGCTGGTGAGGAGCTTTTACACAGACGCGTTTACACACAGAAGCTTTTACGCACAGGAGCTTTTACACAGACAAGTCTTTATACAGACTGGCTTTTACACGCAGAAGCTTTTACACAGAAAGAAATCTTTACACAGAGGAGCTTGTACGCACGGAAGCTTTTACACAGAGAAGTCTTTACACTAAGGAGATGTTGCACACAAACGCGTTTACACAGAGGAGCTTTTACACACAGAAGCGTTTACACAGAGAAGTGATTACACAGAGAGCTTTTACACACAAACGCGTTTGCACACAGAAGCGTTTACACAGAGAAGCCTTTACACAGGAGCTTTTACACACAAGGGCGTTTACACACAGAAGCTGTTGCACACAGACGCTGTTACACAAAGAAGTCTTTACACAGAGAGCTTTAACACACAGGCGCGTTTACAGACAGAAACTTTTACCCAAAGAAGTCTTTACACAGAGAGCTTTTACACACGGAAGCTTTCACACACAGAAGTTTTTACACAGAGAAGTCTTTACACAGAGAAGCTTTTACACGCAGAAGCTTTTGACACAGAAGTTTTTACACATCCATGAATATGTTCAAAAAAGCACAAGGAATATATTCTGAAGCAGCAGGTACTCATGCAATAGCTTTCAAGCCCACCCTGCGATGACATCGAGGGTGAAGTAATCCGGCGGAGCCGACGATGAGCGTCAGCTCTAAAATCCAGCGATGCGCCGTGTTTGTGTACCAATGCGCCATAGCTTTAGCTACCCGGGGTCGCGCCCCATCGCCGACCCCCATCCCAAATCCTTCACTCTGCTGGTGTTTTCACGTTTTTGGGGGTCCGGGGCCGGGAAAAAAGATGCGAAAACTAATTATAGATGCTTTTGGAAGTTGATTTGGGGCCGTTGTTGAACCATTTTTTGACGATCTTTTGCTGCGCCCGGGAAGCAAAAACATCGTAAAATACAGTGTTTTTGTCCTTTTCGCATTTTGACACTACATCTTGCAACATGGTGAAAAGTGCGTAAATACCAGCATTTTTGCTGACTGACCAAAAAACATTGTAAATACCGTGGTTTTAAGCTCCCGAAGCACGAAAAACATCGGTATGTACAGTGTTGTTTGCTTCGAGCGTGTCAAAAAATGCAAAAAACACCACCTATTTGACGATTGTTAGGGGTCCACAAAAATGCGAAAATATATAAGCTGTGTTGCAACAACAACAACAACAACAACAACAACAACAACAACAACAACAACAACAACAACAACAACAACAACAACAACAACAACAACATACAACATACAACATACAACATACAACATACAACATACAACAACCAACAACAACAACCAACAACAACAACAACAACAAACAACATACAACATACAACAACCAACAACAACAACAACAACATACAACATACAACATACAACATACAACATACAACGTACAACGTACAACGTACAACGTACAACGTACAACGTACAACGTACAACGTACAACGTACAACGTACAACGTACAACGTACAACGTACAACGTACAACGTACAACGTACAACGTACCACGTACCACGTACAACGTACAACGTACAACGTACAACGTACAACGTACAACGTACAACGTACAACGTACAACGTACAACGTACAACAACAACAACAACAACAACAACAACAACAACGACAACAACAACAACAACAACGACAACGACAACGACAACGACAACGACAACGACAACGACAACGACAACGGCAACGACAACGACAACGACAACGACAACGACAACGACAACCACAACCACAACCACAACAACAGCAACAGCAACAGCAACAGCAACAGCAACCATCACAACCACAACCACAACCACAACCACAACCACAACCACAACCACAACCACAACCAACCACGACAACAACAACAACAACAAACAACAACAAGAACAACAAGAAGAAGAAGAAGAACAAGAAGAAGAACAAGAGCAAGAATAAGAACAAGAACAAAAACAAGAACAACAGAAGAAGAACAAGCACAAAAATGCGACAAAAAGATGTGTGGTAAGATGGTTACAAGCTGCGGTATGACAAGAACATCACACTGTGCTCTGCACCAGCGCACACGCGCAGACAACACCAACGCTCACACTACTATACATAGCCCTTATGGCATCGCTGTTGTGCGAAGCTCTACAATATAGATATAATGTGTAGTATAGATTAATATAGATAGATGTCATTAGGTGTCTATAAGCTATAGGCATGTCACCAAGAGTTCAAAGATGAAGAACACCATGCTACATCATGCCACACCTCAGCAGCTGCAACCGCCAAGAAGTCACGACTGCAGTCGATGAAGCGTTGTCTTCCCTCATGTGACCAGTAAAGGAAGGAGCTCATTGTGAGAGCGAGTTGCGGACTCGTGGCTGATTTCAGCTTGTGGCCAAGCATACTACCCAGCTCAGTGTAGAAGTCCTTGGGATATGATGCCGCTTTTGTCTCCATGAGTCGAAGAATCTCTGCAATCTGCTCCACACTGAGTTGTGCGAACTTCTTCAGAAAATCACGGGAGGCTTCTTCGATTTCCGATCTGCCTGTTGCAGCTTTGATGTGCTCTTGCAATGGCTCCCATTCCGCATCCGGAAGTCCAGAGTTTCCGGACAGCTTGTGAGATGTCTGCTGGACAAAGGGGAGCGGTACGGGTGCTGAGCCTGTAGCAGACAATGCCTGTTTGGCTCCTTGCACATTGCCTTGCAAACGTGCCAGCATTTTCTGTACAGAGTCGTTATCTCGCTGTGCAGGCGCAGATGTTTGTAGTGTGAAGCCAGAGAACCCCATTGATTTTGGAGCTGCCTTCACATCGGGCACAGGTGCACCGCCAGCTGCAAGACGCTTCAGAGCCTCCAAGTCGTAAGCAGCACTTGGCATAGTTTGGCCCGGTTGACCTGGTGGTGGTGGAGGCGGCACGACAGGAGCTCCCGGAGGAGCAAGTGACAGCCCTGCAATTTGAGGAGGTGGAACGACTTGTGGCGGAGCAGGTGGAAGAGTTGCAAGGTTTAGACCTGGCTGTGGGAGCTGCGGTATCTGCGGTATCTGCGGTATCTGCGGTACTGGTGGCTGTGGAGCTGGAGCCTGTGCCTTCGCTTGGGCTTGGACAGCGGCTGCTTGAGCTGCAGCCGCAGCTTGCGCTGCCTGTGCCGCTTGTGCTGCTTGGGCTGCTTGGGCTGCTTGGGCTGCTTGAGCAGCTTGAGCAGCTTGAGCTTGTGCCTGTTGAGCTCCATCTTGCACCGCCTGTGCCGCCTGTGCTGCCTGTGCTGCCTGTGCTGCGATGACCTGCAAATGATTAAAATAAGAGGAATTAGACAGCAT